TAATTTGCTTCTGAGATGAATCAAAACCAGATTTTAGAAAACTATCTTGATTTCTCCTTTCCCCCTGAAAACCCTGATGACTGAGGCATAGCTGAGCTCTCTTACTCATTTTGTATAAACTAAGATTTGAATGATAAGATCTTAGAAAACCAAAAATCTGCCTTTGGCCTATCAGTTTAAATCAATTAATTCATAGCCAGATAGAAAACAAATGTAGAAAAACTCTCTCCCTTTGCTTTGTTTGTTTGTTTGTTTAAGAAGGAAATAAATGGGGAAGAATTTAACTTGTAAGGAAGTGGAATGACATCTTAGGAAAATGAGGCTCTGTTCTTAGAAGAGGGGTGTAAATCACGCTTATGTGCTAATGAATGAAGGGAGACATTTTTGGAGACACATTTTGTCTCTTTATAAATAGGACAGAATATGTCTGTGCAGAGCTGTAGTCAGTTCTGCTAGGTCCCAGCAAATAAGCTGCAGTTTCTTTTCTTTTCACAAAATTTCTCATTTACTTCTTACACGAAAAACAGTTTTTGAAATTGTCTTGAAAGAACAAGGATGGCATCTTTTCTGTAACATGAACGTGATGTTTTCATTTACTAGTGAGGACAGTACTTTCTGTATATTGAGCCTCTAGGGTTCACTCAAGTTGCATTTCAAGCATTTTTAGCTGCCATCCAGACCAGACTTCAACTTCTGAAACTGTTTCATTTTGGGGGGTTGAAAACACAAACAGATCCAACGCTTTTCAGGAGAAAACTGAAATATCCTGAGTCATCCAGTGAAGGCTGGCACTAGCTCCTATTTTCAAAGACTTCTTATTGCCTCTGACTCTAAGCTTCAAAACTAGAGCTGCTTTCAACTAAGATATTTCAGCTAAGAGAGTCTAAAATGTGATCTTGTCCACAGAGGCCAGGGTGGCAGAAATCTCCCTTAGGCAATCTGTTCTCTGGGGAAATCCTGTAACACTGACTTCTTACAAGTTTATGGAAATAACATTGTTAAGGGATTAAAAATTCTTCGGAGTCAACTTGCCATCTAAATTTTGAATTCAGAAGCCATGTTATTCTCTCCATACCCACAAAGAGGAGGGCCATACTCTGTGTAATATCCAGGTTACGCTTAAGTAAAGATGTATACTTATAAAAATGTGATTGCCTACTTCAGAAATCCAAATGATGATTCATGTCTGTAGCAACGATCCTCATTATTTTTCTCAGTCCAGTTCTGCAGCCAGTTAAGAACCTTTTAAATTAGCAGCTATCAACAATTCAGTGAGTGGGTTGATGGAGTGGAGAAGGTTAATGCCGTGTCTTGGGGGGAAGGAAGTCAGCTTACAGCTATAGCAAATAGGACATTTTTCTTGATTGGATGAAATTATGTTGGAGAGAAATCCAATAATTCTTGATATTGACATAATTGTATTGTATATGCTAAAATGGCCCTCCCCAGTGGGCTGATCCTGCTGCGTATGTACCAAAGGGCAATGATGGCCTGGTGCGGCTTACCAAGATGGTCTGTCTATTCCCATGCCAGCAGACCAGCCAGAAGGGGTGAATGTCCCCAGGGTATGAAGAGGGGTGCCAAGATCAGTCAGGGCTGGCAGGTTTTACTGGGACAGTTGCAATATTGCAGAAATACAGCTGCCTGGGCCTGACTCTTGAGTCACAAATGAAGAGTAAAAGTGATTCTCAAGGATACTGAAGTAGGTCATCTCCATCACTGACTATGACTCAAAAGTTTCCCCTGAGTATGAAGCCTCATTTCACACCCTCACCAAGCAGCATGGAGATAGGGCTGGAAACCCTCCCATTCCTCCTGCATGAGCACTTCTGGTTAAAGCCCAGACTGGTTTTCCAGACCACTGGCAGAGTGAAAGAGAGGAAAGGCATGTGGATTTAAGGAGGGTGTTTAGATCATAAACTTAAGAGAAGCTGGGAAGTGTCATAGGATTAAGGGATCTATGCAAGCTTGTATGGGTATTTCCACTTGTGCTGTCCTCACACCTTCTCTGAGAGATTTTTGTCCCAAACACAAGGGCTGCATGTATGTTGCAAGATACATTGCAGCGCACCACATAGCCTTGGCTTTTGGCTGTGCCTCTGCTTGTGGGGACATGCCAGCTTGCACCATGTGAGTATGTGCCCTGCTTTCCCCTTGAGAAAGAAACCTGGGTGCAGAGGGGCAGAGAAGGAGCTAAGGTGTGGTGAGTGTGCTTGTCTGGATGGCCATGGGTCCAGGCCCACAAAGTGCGCTAGGGACTTGTGCACCATGATGTTGGTTTAACCAAAATAACCAACTCAATGTGTAGGTTGCTGGCTGCATTACACATGTGACTAGCTTTGCATATAAGAAAATCCAAAGCCTTGTGAAAGAGTAAGTAGAGTAAGAGTAAGGAGGTGGACGTTTGAGGAAAGTACGTAAAAAACTTTTTACTGGTAAGTAAAGTATCTATGGAAAATTACTTATGTGACTATCTATGACTTCTAGACAGGGTTACTTGGACATTAAGCAAAATGGTGTGCTTTCTGGAGTAATGCCAAGATGCTTTCAAGGATTATATATCTTTTAGTCAAATGTGGTACAAGATCTCAGTTGCTAAAGAGAAACGGATGTCTACAGAGGGAAGTGGAAATATCTGTAGAATTGTTGGTTCCAAGAGCCTTGTGTTTAAAAAACAAAATCCCATGAAGCATTGCCAGGAATGGGAGAGGAATGAGAGGCAATGCTTCAAAACAAAACAAAACAACAGAAAAGAAGCAAGTAAGAGTTTTGTCTACCATGTGCTTAGGAACAATAGCACTGAGTCAAAACCTGCTGGACTCAGTTGGGAATGCTGTGGTTTAGCTAGTCCAACTGAGCTGAACTGGAATGCTCTTTTTGTCTTTCAACAAGCCTGTAAAAGTTGGCAGAGATCTGATCAGCTGTTCAAGCCCTGCTGAACATCCCTCAGAGTTCAGCTCTTATATCTCGTTAGGGGCCCAGTAGAAAAATTTTGGGGTTAAGCAGGTTGTAGGCTTAGCTGGCCTGTGTGTTTTGAGACGTGTATGGAATAAGATGGATTTTCCTGCATGGAAGAAAAATGTTTGTTGCCTCAGAAAGATATGTGTTCCTGCACATGTGTGCTGCTGTGCTCTTTTTTTTTTTTGCTGAAGGAGGGGCTTGCTGTGTAAATAGAAACGTTAGCGGTAGTTTAGGGAATTATTTTATGGTTGTGATGCTACACAGTCTAGTTTATATTTTTGTCTAAAGGCCCATGTCCGAGGAGACTTAGGTTTATCTATGTCAGAACTACCACTGTCTGGTCCTGCATCTTGCTCCATCTCTCTTTGCCAGCACTGATATGTGTCCGATCTTGTAGTGAGCCCATTGAGGGAGCTAAGCTAATTGAAGATTAATGCTTTATTTTATTTATTATTTTTTTTTCTGCAGAATTACTTTTTACCTGTTTTAACTTCCTGAACCAGCTCACAGCAGGGTCATAGCAAGGCCTAACACTGGCATGCAAAAGCTAGCTGGAATTTGTGGCTGGGGTGAGAAGGAAATGGTAGGACTTGGATTCATTGAGCTCTTGAGGAACCACAGCCTACAGCCACTTACTATTCTTCCCGCACCACCGCATCTGCTTATTGACCTCCTCTCCCCTTATGTATTTTATATCCAAGTTTATCTGAGTATGGACCCTTTTAACTGAAAATATTTTGTATTGCATCTGCATATTGCTGGACCTGCATTCTTCTTCTCAGACTGTGTTCAGAAAGACTGGACTTTGTACTCAGTGACGAGATGTGTGCACTTGGGTTTGTGAAATGCCATGGGTCCTGTCTTGTAAGGTTTAAATCTCACCACCCTTATGGCTCCCACTCATAAAGAGCTATGAGGACAGTCTGCAGTGACGGTGAAAGAGGAGTGATATGAACTTATTTTGAGAATGTCCTGGGATGGCAAATGGGTTGGTGTCAATATCTGGGCCTCACGTTAATGCTGGCTGTCCCCATGGAGAGAAGGTCTCACTGTCACTAGGCCTGTGCACTTTCTTCCATGTCCTTTCCTCTTTTAGAGCTGTTTTAGAGCCTGGCCTATGCTTTGCATTCAGGTTTTGTGGAGGCAAGGCTTATGGAGGCACAGAGAGTTTGACAATGTCTGCTAAAAGTGCTCACAGAGAATCTTAATAACATCACTCATCTTCTGAGCATAGGTAGCCTGTGCAGTCATTTCCATTTTGAATATGGCTATGTGAAAGAAAGCAATAGAGCCCAGTGTAGCAATGCTTTTCTACTGTCCTCTTCTCTAAGGGGTCCAGAAGTATCTATAAAAATACGTACTTTCAGATTTCTGGTAGGAAACAGTACTTAGAGCATAGACTCAAACTGTGTTCCCTGGGAAGTTGCCCTACCAAATGATGCTGACTCCTTCAGTTCAAAGAAAGTCAAAGTATTCTCAAAATTCGGTGCTGCAGAGATACTGAGCAATTGTAGATGAGCAAGAGAAGTGGTCTGTGAAATCATGATAGGTAGGGAGAAGTCACAAGAAACAATTTCTTTCCTAAATGTGGGTTCCACATTTTGTAAAGGCCTGCAAGCTTGCCTGTAATTTCACCTTTCCTGACAGTTTGACTTCCATTTCCACCTGCTGGCCAGTGTCATTATTTTAACCCTCTGTCTCTCATCTGTTTGCTTTAACAATTTCTGCTAAATCTAGCCTAACCTATATGTTTTAGCTACTAACGGTTTAAAATAGAGGTGCATGACCTTCCTTCCTTAATGTTTTCTCAGCATTCCTTTGTTGCAGAGCATGGGATGCAGGATTTATTTATTTAATTTTTTTTCCTCAGAATGAGGCTGTAGTTACCTGAGGGTTGAAAAAATGAACATTGTAATTCAAGGCAATAGCATGCAGCAGTGAAGAATGTAAATGGTGCTTTTCACTTAGCCTGGTTTCTTGCAATCCCTTTTTCACCTGAAGCAGACAAATGACTAGTCCAATAATTAAAAGGAATATACCTAGAGAATTAGCCATATAATGAATGTCCCAGAAGTTGAAGCTTCAGCTGATTGTGCATTCTGTCCCGACTGGCCTAAAATGCAAAAGACAAATTCCAGTGTAGAGTTGCTGCTTTCAGATGGCAGCACGAACGCTGGTACAAGCACCATTTAAAGAACACAAACTCTTAAATTAATTATCCATTTTCTCTGCACCTTAAAGTGACATTTAATGGGAGCAAGAACAGGGCAGAAATAAATGCTGAAATGTGATATCGTGCATTTTATGTCTATTATCAATGGTCAGAAGAGGAAGTAATGATCTGATAAGGGGTCCAGGTTCTAATATACCTAAAAAAATGAGAGAATAACTCCCACAAAGGAATGTTCTATTGATATTCTGGGTCATGTGGGAAATACATTGCTTCTATGCCGATGGGTGGTAGGGCAAAATCTAGAGTAGCTGTACTCTTTTGTTTGTCAGTAAACTAGCAGTGTTTCACTTCTATTCAGAAGGTATACATCTTGCTTTTTTAATCTTAGAATATTACCAATGATGAATTTAAGGGAAAAGGTTTGAAAACCAGTAAGTTTCTTTTTCATGTTTTACAGCTTTGGACACCCTTTTATGAATAAAATGACATGGCAGTGTGTGAAGTAACAAAGGAATTGTAAGCAGTGGCCAGCATGTGGAAAGTCAAAACTATCTACAGCTGAATAATGTTCTTGGAAATGAAGGGCAAACAGGAGTATAATTGATTATTGCCTCTCTATGTGGCTTTGGAGATCACATAATCCAAAGCACAAAAATGGTATGCATGTGTTCCCTCAGATATTCTTCAGAATGGAGGGGCTATATATCAAAACCTTATTTCCTGGTAATGAATTTTAAATAAGTGCCCAGGGCATCAGGTCACTGATGTTTCTACTTTGCAAACTGGGTGGGCTATGAAAGCCCCTAGAGCCCTTCAAAGGCGCCTTAAAAAAAAAATCCCTAGCTTTAACTGACCAAACTTTTCAAGAAAAATACCTGAAACAATTAGGAGAATGAAAACCAGGAGGTCAGATTACTTGGCCCATGGCTGAGGATTTACATAAATAGGCCTAACCTTTGACTTGAAAATAAAAGGTAAGTACAGAACCCTGACAGAACAGCAGGTCATTGGTATTTACTCTGTAAAGTACTGCCTCTGATGCTATGACAAAAATGCCAGGAATTCCACTGATCACTGTGTGCTGATAGGGCTCAAAGGTATGCAGCCAGCTAACAGAAACCCAGCCTACCTGACTGATCGAAACTGCATTACTCCCACGCATTTATAACCTGCAATCTGTGAGCGTGGGAAAGTGTGCAAGGCCTTAGACTAATTCCTGACAATTAAAAAAAAAAAAAAAAGAAAAAAAAAAGAATAAAAAAGGAGAAAGTTGCTGTCTTTAAGAGTATTTTAAGTTCTTGTGGTTTGGGCAGCATATAAAATTAATAAAAAGTCTCCCAGTGAGAATCTTAAGAAGTTTTCTTCACTGTGCAGATCCAGAATTGATGGTGTATGGGAGGCTGAGATTGGTACCACATTCAGCATTGTGCAGATGTGGGAATTTGTCAAGGATGATCTGCACCTACAAGTAGTCTTCAACTGTGAAAATGGTACCAAGCTGTAGGAAGGCAGTGGCCTGGCTCTTTTTTTTTTTTTTTTTTTTTTTTTTTGACAAGTGAAACCCTAGGCAGTAAACCTACAGGAGAAATAGTACGCTGTGTGTTCATGTTGCTTTTTGTCAAGCAAAGGCTCTGCACTCACAAGTCAGAGAACCAAAACAGATTTTGCATTCTTATATCTAACACAATAACAAAAATGTGTTAGATCATTTTTTCTTTTCTACACGGATAGCTGAGAAGAGTGCCCCTGTGGAAGTGGAAACAATAAGTGCAAAGTTTTTAAATTCAGTTTTTTAATAGACAGATTCAGTTTCCTGTTTCACTTCAAGACACAGGCACACATCAAGTATCCTGCAGGCTGTTTCAAACTTGCTTCTCTAATTAATCAAAAGTGATCCATTACAGAAAACCTGCAGGAATGTCAGAGATGGATGCTTCTGTTTGTACTGTTTTTGACTTGCTTGTTGCAACAGAGGGGGAAGCTGTTAGTGCCTGTCTAGCAAATTATTGAAGGATGGTGTAAGAGGGCCTGCCGCCTTCCTCTTGAAGGGCCAGGAAGCCTGGGGCTAGTCAGCCCCGTGCTGTTCTCCATGTTTGCTAGACCTCTGTGGGATTTTGGAAGGAGGTGGAGGAATACCCCACAGCTGGGGACTGATTAGGGAGGAAGACAGGCTGCCTTTGTGCCCCAGGCACAGCCTGGCCAAGTCTCATGGTTGAGAAAGTGAGCAGGTAGTGGTAAGCAGGAGGAGCTGGTAGCTAACAGATGATGGTTGAGCGAGGAGCCAGATTTTTGTGTCCCCTGTGTGTTCAAGTGCTGTGTAAGGAGGAGACCAGCCCAGACTTTGCAGTGTGCCACCTGACACCTCTCCCTTACCCTCCAGCCAGCCAGGATGAAGCCAAGGCAAAATTTTGAAGGGAAATGAAAAGCATCTGAAGGTCTCTGGAGGATGTTCACAGTGACATAGAGCCCCCGTGGTGTTAGTTCAGGTGTGACCCCTTGCCAGGCTCAGCTGTCTCCTCCTCCTATGACCTCTGCCTGCCTTGGGCAGAGTGGTGGCCAGGTTCCCCCTCTTCTGACATGGCTGGATCCTTTCAGTGATCCCTCATGCAAAGTATAAGGCAGTCTGGTTTTGCCTCCATGTGTATCAGTGTTGTGTTGTGCTGGCACTCTTTTACTGATGCATTGATTTCAGACAAAAAGGGGTAGAGGAGGTGCATTTCAAGTCCTGCACTATAAACTGCTTAACGTCTTGCATGCTCAGCTGTAGCTATCTGCCCTACTGTGTCAGACTGACTGCATCTGGCAGAGATGGATTTGATATGTATAAGTACAGGGTTAATGGTAGCGAAACTGTCTTAGAATTGAGGGCAAGAGTTCATAAACAAGTCATTTCCAAGAGCTGTACAGTCCAGGACAGGGAGCTGCCACTGGTGATAACAATATCTTGCAAAATGATGCAAGTGAATCCCTGATTCAGGGTAAATAAGGAGTCCTTCTGTCTTGCTTGGGGGTAAGTAAAGGAAAGTTGGAGACCTATGCAATTTCCTATGGCTTCTCTTACTCAACTCAATCAGCATTTTGGTATGTGCCATGAACCTTAAAAGCTTCTTTAGTGCTGATCTTCATATGACCCTGCTGTAAAACACATCTGGACCTTCCTGATTTTTCAATACCAAACCAATGTCACTGCTTTTTAGCCATTTTCCCCCCTAATCACCATCCTATGTCTTTGAACACAACTGTCTGCTACTGAGTGCTCTCCCTTACTTGCATAGCAGTGCCAGGAGAATGCTGTCACATCCCCTGTACTAGTACTGTGGTGGACTTTGCACATGGTCTTGACCTTAGCAGGCTCTGTGATAGATGTTGTCCATGTTTCATTCTGAAAATCATTTTTTCTTCTTTCCTTTTAAATAGGTATGTATAAAGTTTGGGTTGCAAAGGCTGCTTTGCTTTCAACAAAACATTTCCCCAATGTAATTTGCTTAAAGACCTCCTCCATGGCCAAAGAATGATGCACATCCATCACAGATTCAGTCTCCATTCATATGCAAAAGAGGAACACTACTTGCAGTCCCATTTGCCTCCAGAGAAATTATATCTGGGCAGATATTTTTTCTCTCTCTATATATTGCTTTGAGGCTGTTTCAAAACTGTTCACTTGGGCACTCTGTGCTTTAAAGCATATATTTATAGTGACCAGGCTTTTCCTGAGCTCATACTCCATTTGTGGTTCCTACATTGTAGCTGTAGGAGAATACAGATAAGAAGGTAATTTTCTGGTGCAATTTTGGCATTGGCAACAAGTTGTGTACAATCTATAGGCTAGGGCAATGCCCCCCCCTGCCCCCCTCCCTTCCCCCCTCCCTTCCCTCCCCCCTCCCCCCCAGTGACTATGCTGTTTTCTAGTGTTTTGGTTTGGTTTTAGTGTGCATGATGTAGAAGATGTTATCTCCCAGCTGTAGATTTAAAATTGTGGGAGTATCTGGATGAATCCCTGAGGATGTCTATGGATGAATTACTTCTGTGCACATTTCCATCTCACTCCCAGTCTTTAGGTTCTCATCAACTACAACCATTTCTCAAGCAATCTGTTAAGACTTGCAACCTTTTAGGGCTATGTATCCCTGCACAGATTTCTCACAGGCTGTTCTCAAGTACTCCCAGACTAAAATTTTGGGCAGGGTGATAGATTTGCAGAACAATGAACTTTTTGCCTCTGCCTTGACCATTAGGGCAGCAGCCTTTGGCTATGCTCTTCTTCTGTTCATCTTTCATTAAAATATCCTGTATGTAAATCCTCTTACCCATTATACCATCAAAAACTTGTTCTGGCTTCCTGTGAAATGCCTAAGGACAGTATTGAATTCATCCTTACATGATCTCTGATTGCAGGGTGCTTTTTATTAATGGCACTTGTGCCACTCCATTCTTCCAAAACCACAGGAAACTACTTAGTATGAGAGGAATTTCAAAACACTATGCTGTCATTTGCTTCCTTCACTAATTACTTGCTTCTTTTTGGACCACCTATAAATGTGGTGTTCAACCTGTCTTCCTACAGTGCCTTGGGAAGTTCATACATGTGGGAGTGTTTTCTGCTCACTCTGTACCTAACAGCAATGAGCATCTCTGGTCCTTCTTTTAGATTCTGCCTTGGAGGGACAGCTACATTTCTCCTCCCTGTGAGAACTGAGTTGAATTTATTTGTGGAGACTGTGTTGTGGTTGGACTCTTATACCTCTATTCCAAGCTTGCTGGTACTTCTCTTCCTCCTGGAAGTCATCATCACGCCCTTCGTTCTTTTCCAGCATTCTTTTGTCCCCAGCCAGTATGTTCTGTGCCTCTCTCCCCAGATAAAACCAGGAATTTGATACAATTTTAACCCCAGTGAGTTTATTTTCTTTTCCAATTTTCTATTGTTTCAACTTTTTATTTGTTCATCTATTCCCTGTAGTTCCTAACTAGGGTAAGAGTGTCCCTGTAAGCCCCAAGTGACTCCAATTTACCCTCTTTTCCCTTTAGATTTTCTCTCAGATCTAGTAAGACTGCAGCTGGGACCACAGGTTCGAGTACCTACATGCAGCTGGAATATAAGGTGCCCCCTTTCCTCTGTTTGTCTGCCTGTTCCTCTCCAGGTGTAATGCTGTCCCTGATTCTGGCAGAGGACTCCCTTACGTGTTACCATCTACCTGGGTTGCTCTTGCACAGGCTCTTAAAGCATTTGTAAACTCTCCCCAAGCTGCCTGGTGGAGCTTAGGCTTGTTAGGCTGTTTCCTATTGCACAGAAGAGCTATTTCAAGTACTCACTGATAGCTGGGAAGCATAAGCATTCAGAAATAAAACATTATTCAGTCATAAGTAAGGGAGACTGCATTTGTAAAATCTTGTGTGGAGAAGCCCATTTTCTCCTGTGAAGGGCTCTCAGGCACCATATCAAGCTTCTGTTTTGCTAGAGGAGGCATCAGCTGAAACAGTGGCAGCCAAAAGGCTTTGATTCGTTTCATTTATTTTTAACTCTCCTATTGAAATGTCTGAGGAAAAAACACACACACACACACACAAAACACCAAAAAAAACAAAAAACAAAAAACAAACATGCTTCCTTTGAGAGCCCTTCAGCTCTGAGAAAGATACCTGCTGTAATTTAGAAACGGCCTTGTTCTGTGAACAGCCTGGCCGAGCGCCGCCTGGGGGGCTGCATTTTCCTCTTTTATTTTTTTTATTATTATTATTTTTTTTTAATGTATATGTGTATTTTGACCATGAACACGGCCACCTTTCTGAAAGGCTGGTGCCGTGTTCCCTTGGAGAGGAGCTGAGCTGGCTGGCAGGGGGCTGCGGCTCACAGGAGCGGAGCATGGCCACTGCCGGCAGAGGCCCAGCACCTGCAGGCCCCGCAGGCCGTGTCAGTCGGCCGGTCCCGAGGATTCCTGTCATGTGCTGCTGCTCAGACAAAGATCCCTTTCTTTCTGTGCCCAGTGGGTTCTCCATCAATGAGAGGACCTTGTCCTACAAACAGAAATCAAACCTCTGTAATTGCAGTGTCACTGATAAAACTTCTCTCCCCATCTGTACGAGCACTTTGACCTCTTAACTTGGTGCGCACATTTCGAAGTTTTCTCATCTCGAGCTCTTTTTATGGTTTTGATGGAAATACTGCAGGGAAGTTTATTTTGGGAGTGTTTTTGATCTATCTCAAACAAGAAGCTAGGCTTGGGAACTTACAGCCGAAAGTGCTATGAATCGTCTGGAGTGTTCGCTTAGCTCTTAATCAAAATGATTTCAGGTTACGGTTTGCTTCTTGTTTTAATTTAGAACTACTTTTGCTTGAGGAATTGGTGTTACATGTTTTCAACAGAGACGAGAACAGAATTTCTGCTCCAAACAGCTTCCATTTCTAACAAAAGGGAAAAATTTAAGCAAGAAGGATGCAAACGAAAGAGTAGTGTTGAGTAGCATGACAGTTCTGTATTTTTTTTCTCCTCCCAGTCAAATTATTGTTGTAACTGTTCTTCCTAAGTGAAGATTTCACTGGGGGAAGAAATAAAGTTTCTAGGGTTCACAGCAGGAAAGTCTTTCACAATAAATTAATATAAGATAGTGAAGGGATCAGGAAAACAGTCTAAACACAAAGGGATTGTCCAGAAGACTGCTCAGAGATGAGAATGTGAATATATTAGTTCATAGAAGAAACATGCAGCAGCTATTTGAATTTCAATCCAGCTGTTCAGTGACAAATACGGAAAGTACTCACCACAGGGTGTTAACCTGGGCACAGTGATCGGCAGCAGTCGTGGTCACCATCCCAAGTCATCGTAGAGAATGAAAATTTTTTGTTTGTACATATGTTGTTCTTTAAAGGAAAATATCTTACATAGGACAAAGATATAAAGACTACAAGATACTCGGAAAGGAAGGAATGTTTAAAAATGATAGACTGGAAATGGAGAGAAGCAGATATTTGGCTTCTCGGATTGTACTTGAAGTTTCTAATATTTAATTCCTGCAAAAGGGAAGTGTATGTGAGAAAGTAACTGGGCTAGCAGACTGGTTAGCTTTGCTGTTGCTTTCCAGTCAATAGGTCACTCCCCTGGGCTAGGGGTTGTGCTCTGCCAACAGCAGGGTTTTTTAGCTGGTCCTATACTGGTAAGAACATAATTATCTGTTTCTGTGCTGCAATAGGTTATCAATAAAATATGAAATAATTATATTGTTTAATACTGAAAAATTGCTGCATTGTTTACAATTCTTAGATTTCTTCCCTTTTTTATTAAACAAAATCTTTTTCAAATATTAAAATTCTACTTTTTTTTTTTTTTTTTTTTTTTTTTTTCCCCAAGGAATTTTATAGAAGTTAGCTTCTGAATTACATGTGAGATGCTGTCTACTCAGTGTGTTGGTAGCTCAGATTCAGTAACAAGAATGTGATTTTTTTTCCAGATATCTGCCTTCAGGGTCACTCTGGGACACTCTGAAGTCTTACGGCCTCGGAGACTGTTTCCTCCTACAGAGGTACCTCTCTGATCTATGTAGTTGCGTTTACATTGAGCTCCCAAACAGTGAAATAACTTGTCAGCCTTAAACACTACATATGATAGAGAAAAGTCAGTGGTAATAACTTCTGAGTTGTGTGAATGAATCTATATAAGTGTCATGAATTAAATGAATGATTAGCTACACACAGAAAGATATTTCCTCTTCCAGTTTCTTGAGATTTTATTAATTCCTCATAGGATAAGTTACTATGTTCTTCATTTCAGAGAAAAAAAAAAAAAGTTTTTACTTCTGAAGTGTCCTCACTTCCCAGCAGGTAAATACCAAAGGATAAAGCACCTAAACACTAAGCAAAATGACAGTTCACCCATACCTTCCAACCTCAGCATAAATTAAGTTTTGGCTAGCTATTGGTGTTTTGTAGGAATTATGCCTGCTCAGTTATTTATTTTTATATTGTAGCAACTTTTTATCCTGATTCCTGCAGAAAGAAGGCTGATGCAATCATACTGTGTGTGCTTGTGTCTCCGTCACTTCCATATCCCTGATATCTTTTGAACCTATTGACAAATTTCAACCAATTGATCTCTCAAAGAAAATTGAGTTCCTACAAGCTTTGTGAAAATAGCCTGCCAGAGAGCCCTCTCACAGAGGAGTAGGCCATAGTGCAAACAGGCCTCATTTCAGACAACAGAGAATCCACTTGTGAGAAAGTGTTTATTGATAAATGTCTTTCCATGGGGAGGGTCTCAGGGAGAGCTTGTTCTTTCTTCGATCTGCAGTCAATCAAGTCTGAGGCTCAGGTCACTTAGGAGCTAGGCATCGTAGCACTGATCCCAACAGCATGTGGGGATACTGCTTTGCAGTAATTTACCAACTTCATTTGCAAGCATTTACCAACTTCGCTACGTTTAAACTAAATATTCTTAAAAACCACTTAAACCTCTCCTCTCCTCTCCTCTCCTCTCCTCTCCTCTCCTCTCCTCTCCTCTCCTCTCCTCTCCTCTCCTCTCCTCTCCTCTCCTCTCCTCTCCTCTCCTCTCCTCTCCTCTCCTCTCCTCTCCTCTCCTCTCCTCTCCTCTCCTCTCCTCTCCTCTCCTCTCCTCTCCTCTCCTCTCCTCCTCTCCTCTCCTCTCCTCTCCTCTCCTCTCCTCTCCTCTCCTCTCCTCTCCTCTCCTCTCCTCTCCTCTCCTCTCCTCTCCTCTCCTCTCCTCTCCTCTCCTCTCCTCTCCTCTCCTCTCCTCTCCTCTCCTCTCCTCTCCTCTCCTCTCCTCTCCTCCTCCTCTCCTCTCCTCTCCTCTCCTCTCCTCTCCTCTCCTCTCCTCTCCTCTCCTCTCCTCTCCTCTCCTCTCCTCTCCTCTCCTCTCCTCTCCTCTCCTCCCTTCCCTCCTTCCCTTCCTTCCCTTCCCTTCCCTTCCCTTCCCTTCCCTTCCCTTCCCTTCCCTTCCCTTCCCTTCCCTTCCCTTCCCTTCCCTTCCCTTCCCTTCCCTTCCCTTCCCTTCCCTTCCCTTCCCTTCCCTTCCCTTCCCTTCCCTTCCCTTCCCTTCCCTTCCCTTCCCTTCCCTTCCCTTCCCTTCCCTTCCCTTCCCTTCCCTTCCTCTTTTTTTTTTTTTTTAATTTTTGTCCAACAACTGCCCAATACCTGTCACTTAAGAGAAAGGCTTTACGTTGTCCATCACCTGAGAAATCAACCCTTGACCTTTATCACTGTCACTTTTCTTCATAGATTCTCTGAGTTTGAAGTTACAGAATTGCTAAAACAGATAACAAAGTACAGAAGGCTGAAAAGTGGCTAGGACAAACCTCCAGGGACAAAGTTTATCTGTTGGAGCATTTCCTGTGTGTACTTTGAAACCTCTCAATTTAACTTGATCAAAGCACAAGCCGACACATTTCAGCTCCCTACTGAACAAACAAATTTACTGCTTATCATTGTTGCCACCTCAGTCTTTAATTTACTTTACCTAGTAAGCCAGTACATGTTAAATGAACAACTCAGGCATTTCAAATGTTCTGGTCTTAAAAATAGGCTATAGTTCATCTGACACTAAAAGATGTGACGTTTCACAGACCTCCTTTGCCACAGTCGCTATATAAAAAGAGGCTTAAAACATATGTAGCCAGTGTGGAAAACAGTGGCCTCTTTGGGACCACTGTATCCATCAGCATCTGCAGGAGGGTTTTTTTTTTTTTTCAGTATCTCAGAATTCCTCCTTTCTTTTTCATTAACTCCCGTAGGACGTATGTGGACTGAGAAAATAAATGGTGGCATTTTTGAAATGCGTTAGTTAACTCACATTAACAGATTTCAAAGCACACTTTATCACATATGGATTAACAGATCATTTACACACCACTTTTGTCAACAGGAGTAACTAATGCTTTTTTTAGTGTTCTCTTAGTTGGCTTTTTTTTTTTCATTAAAAAGTATTTATTTAAATTAATAATACTGATAGTAAAGAGTATTGTGAGGTTTTGCATGAAGGGAGGGTGGCCAGGCAACCTGGCCCATAGGAGATAGTGAGGTACAGTGGCAGCCTTTCTGTTTTTATGCCAAAACAATTCAGGCAATGTTTTCAGTCGGTGTCTAAAACTTTGTGATTGTTTTCCACTTAATTAAAACTACTGGCCCATATTTTGCTGCTCATGTGGCTGTCCCTGCTCTCAGAGAAACTGAGTCCAAAAGTTCTGATTTCATTGTTAACTGCTTTTCTTCAATATCATGTCTTCCAAGAACCAGTGTGGTACTTGAGGTGAGGCTGCTGCTTTTTCAGAAGGCACCTGCAGAAGTGGGGACAAGTGCTACATGTTTGGTCTTAGTTCTTGAATGCTTTGCCTTGTGTGAATGTGGACCCCCTGAACAAGGAAGCTGCTACTGTCCCTCTAAGGTGTATGTTTCTTGGCCTGGAGTGCAAACACTGAAATATCCAAACAGCTTTGCTCCTAGAACACCACTAAAAGGGATCTTTACTCAATATAGGTAGCTTTAAACTGTTCTTCATCACTCTGAACTGCAATTGCCTTTGTCAACTGGCAGTTTCTTTCCTTCTTTCAAGCAAAACCAGCATCTTCAAATATTCTGCAAGCTCAAGTATTAACCATAGTCAGTTTTTATTCTACTTCTGTGTCATCCCTCACTGACGATGCAAAATGTTTAAACAGTGTAAGTTATGATGGAAATTTTCAAAAAAAAGGGCAGCGACACATCTCTTCTTAGAATTAATGGAACATGCAGTGACTCTTTCCTGCACAGCTTGGTAAATGTCAGTCAGAGACTTCAGAGCATCTATGCAAGAAATGACAGGACAAACAGCCACATATGTCAGCATCTACTGACACAGATCTACCTCCACATGCAATTCTACTAATGAAAGTATCGTGTCTTTCCCCATAATAATCACAGACTAAGGTTAGTTGAGGTTGAGGTTTTTCAAATTTTTTCAAATTTCAAATCCACAAAATTCCTTTATAATTTGGACTTGCATTGGGGTGCTTTTTTTCTCTAATGTTATTAACTTAAACAAATTAGATGACTTACTTTTCTGCTTAAATGAAGCTCGTGCCAGATATAGAAAAATGCTTTCCTGAAGATAAGTTCACACAAATGAATGCTCTGCATGTTTGGATTACCTGTAATGAAAGTACTTATCGAGATAATACAAAATTTTTCATTTGGCCACGCTGCTTATAAAATTGTGAAAGCCTCAGTCTAACTGTTTCTGACATTTTCAAGATCAAATTTAGACAATGCTTCTGGGTGGGAAAGGTTCTTCTGCTGTTCTAGGATGAAGCAGACTTCTACAAGTGTTTTCCAGACAAAGAAAAGAGTAAGTTTGTTCTGGACTAGGTGGCACCCTGATGCTTGGGCTTCACTCTAGGGACTGTTGGAGAAACAGGTTTAAACATTTATTTTGCCTGAGCTGTATTTCTCACATGCCAAGAGGGATGCCCCTGGCATCAGTCCATCAGCTGCTCTGTGATGGGTCTTCCTAAATATCTCTGGCCATAGAAGTTGTTCATGCTTCTCTAAGAGAGGCTGACTGTGTGGTTGTGGGTTTGAGCACTCCTCGAGGACATGGGAGACTCAGATGGATGCTCCCACTCCAAGCTTTTGTATAAAAAAGTGGAAACTATTCCAGTAGGTGATCTTGGAGAAGGTGCTTTTTCCTTCCTATGAAACAATACTGGTTGGGAACACAACCAGTCCCGAAACTGGAATCTCTGCTCTGACTCTGGCAGAGTAGGTATGTTGGCTACTAGAGCAACAAAAGCTATTATTTTTACTGAAAGTTTCACTCAAACAGCTGTTTGTGTAAGAACCACCATTTTTAACAAGTCAGTATTTTGTAATAAAAATTATTCTGTCAGAAATTTCTGTAGCATCTCTAGAGAACAGTGGGATAGAAGGACAGGGTCTCTGGAAGGCTCTGTGGACTTTGACCTTCTTACACAGTCTTCAATAAAACTTTGTTCCTGTGGCTGTTCTTCTCAGCCCAACTGCTCTTGACACAAACTAATTACAGAAAACTACAGCTAATGCTGTCAGGAGTATGCTGCTAATTGCTGCAAACATGCTCACAGGTATCCCTGACTGCACTAAAGCAGCCAAATGATTTGTGCTCCTTAAATGGGGCTGTGTGGAGGGCAACAGTCCAGTGGTGATGTATCCAGTGTGGGGATCTCTTATGTGGGTTGTAGTTTTAAGCAGGATGCAAGCAGAATATTTTAAATCTCCTGTAAAAGACTATCTACATGCTGCTAGGCTATACTGGAAGTCCTATCTCATTGTCAGTGTCCCTGGATGAACAGATAGCAGAGAAACCCTGAAGTCCCCTGGCTGCTAAAGGGGTGGGAGCCAGGGTCTGTGGAGCCTTCTATACACCTCAGTCCTCATTTGTTTGCTGGATATCACTTAAAATTTTCTATTCTAGTCATTTATTTATTTATTTATTTATTGGATGGGTAGAGACCAGAGAGAGAGAGAAAAAAAATAGAGAAGAGACAAAAAATCTAGGTAT